CCCTTCTTCCTTTCCTATATGTAGATAGGGTCTAATTGGTCTAATCTGTACAGTTTTAAAAGACTGTGCCATTATTAGACTAGGCCTACTAAAGTGCAAGACTGTGGAGTGAGATATTAGACAGGGAGTTAAGTTGCCAAAATCAGTTGTTTAGAGTGAATAAAAGCCAGATATATACACCTTCCTGTGATTGACAGTGGTTTTGCTTCCTCAAACAGAAAACGGTAACGTTTGCTTTATAAAATCTTGTTTTGTAGACTGGGAGAAGAGGAAAGACTCCTACAAGTACAATAATGGTGCGTAATTTTCCCTCTGAGTGGTTATAATTCTAGCAGGGTTTTCTGAAGTTTATATATATATATATATACATATATATGTGTATATATATATGTATATGTGTATATATGTGTGTGTGTGTGTGTGTGTGTGTGTGTGTGTGTGTGTGTGTGTGTGTATACATACAAACATACATACATACATACATATGTATACACACACTCACTATGTATATATATATATTTTTTTTTTTTTACTATTCCAAGGGAGAATATACTTTTTTGTCATTCTTTATCAGTTACTACTTATAGCTGTTAGGAATCAAAGCAAAATTACTTTGCTATATAGAGACTTAGGTGGCGAAAGAAAACTGTACTTGGACTGTCAGAGCATATCAGCATACATATTGGCAAATATATAAATTGGAGAGTGTTTGTTCTCAAAGTAAATCAGTATGGGGACTGATAATGCTCTCTTTATTCTGCAATTTTTTCTAGTGTAAATAACTAAGAACAATTATTTCCTTGTACAAATCTATGATTATCATATAGATATGTTTTATTGTACATGGGAACAGTGAAAAAATAGGAAAATATCCATGTAACAAAGTTTACAGAGGAACAACAGTACCAATGATACCTCAGGGATTTTGTAAGTCCCCTTTTGAAACTATATTCAAAATGGGGATTGGAGAGTTCATCAGTTCAGACAAACAGCAAGTTGTTTCATCTAACTTACGAAGCCTCTGTAGATAAAATTCTGTCAAATTTTAATTATTAATATATGTATCTTAGTCCTAAAGTGGGCTGTTAGGGTTGAAAAACAAGACTTTAAAAACTTTTTTTTTCTTTGTAGGGGACAGGTCATTAACATGAGGTACCTGGAATATTTTGAGAAAATTCTTCATTTTATCAAAGACAGGATCCTTGTTTATCATGGGTAAATTACTGATTTTTTTTTCCCACCTCCTTTCCCCTAGTAACATTGATTTGAATTTTATGTAATATTCAAAACCAGTTCCAGAAAGTCTATAGGATATTTTCTTAATTCGAGTAAGTTCTAGTTTTCTTAGTAAGTGTCTGTAACTGTCTTATTTCTTAATGGAAATGTAAAATCATATTCATTGCCTTAAAAAAAAAAAAAACTAATAAGAAAAAATACTATGTGAATTATGCTATACCTATAAATAAACAACGAAGTTGAATTTGTACCCATACTTTTTATATGAGTGGGTGTCAATTCCATCAAAAGATATGACTTTTTAAAGAGGCTGGGTTCCCTTCTGGTAAACAGAGTATAGTTTCTCTGAATATTGAAATGAATTTTTTAAATAGTAGGATGATAAATCCAACCTTTGAGAGTGACAGGAGGGAAAATGGGAGAAGATGTGGAAGGTAACTTTAAAAACTACCTGTCAAACACCAGAGTCTCCTATAAGGAGCAGAAAATCTTTGCTACCTATTGCCTAAATGGACTGATAGACCTTGCCCTGGAACAGAAGACAGTTGTAAAATCTTAAATGAAGGAATGTGACTAAAGGTAGTCTTAAAGTTGATGTTGACATGTGTTTCAAACTTTGATCAGTCTTTTATAAGTTAAACGTCTTCCAAATCTCCTTTGTGACAACAGTCTTCTGACAAAGTTAAAATTTAAGATACTATTTTAACTTTAATTTCTCTAATTTTTCTTTGGCCTGGTAACTTCTGTGAAGGATTGAGTTCTGTTATTCAACTTCATTGTACTACTTAAATGTCAAAAATTAAAATGCAAAAACTCATTACAGCAGTTGAAAATATTCAAATTTTAAAAAATTTATGATAACTGCTGAAAAGTTCATAATCTTTGTAGTAACTTGAAAGTCTATCCTCTATTGAGAGAAAGCTTGTCCAGACTGAGCCAGCAGCGTTTGACCTTAAACCAGAGCAATTTGTGCTAGAGTGTTCAAATATTTCTGTTTTTAAAATCTGGATGCAGTCATTAGTAAATATTAGAGAGTTATTTCAGTAGGCTTCCCCACAGTGCGACTGTGCCTATATCTGTGATATTTGTGTACCTTCAAGGCTCAATAGATGCACACGTTTTGAGAAGGGTGTTTCTAAAGCTGATCCTATTCTTTTTCTGCCTTTCCTTAGCAGTCCCCTGCCCATACACATGCATACAAGTACTGCTTAGTGGTTTAGTCTTGCTGACAGCAAATGAGAAAGAAACTTGTAGTTCAAAGTTCAAGTTTGAAGCTGAAAAAAATTATCTGAGGTGCTGAAAATGCTTTTTAAAGAATGTAAATGCTTCTCTTGTGCTAGAATAGGAAAGCATGTGGCCAAATATGCAGGAAGTAACTTTCCACAAAGGAAATAATTAAGTAACTTTCAATAACGTATTCCGCTGACCATTGGTATGACTAATTACGTTGAAGTTAGATGGTTTTCCAGAAGTGCTAGATGTGTTCAGCTGTTACAGTTGCATATTTTTTTTCAGTGCTAATAATCCAAAAGGACTATTAGAGGTTCGAGAAGCATTGGAAAAGGTACATAAAGTAGAAGATCTTCTTCCCATAATGAAGGTAAATTAAAGAAAAAAAAAAACTTCAAAATATGCTGGAAATAATAAAATTTATTCTGGTAAATATTCCGTTCTTCAGAATAAGCTTCTTCAGAGCTTAAAATGAATAACTGGAGACAGTAATTCCGGTTATTTCAAATCTGTATATGCAGATGTGTGACCTTCAACTTAAATATATGTAGGTGTGAGATGTATATTTGAAAGGCTTGATCTAATTGCGAGTTGATTAAGGAAAAGAAGGGAAAACAAAATGTTGAGTGTAGTTCTCTGAAGCCAGTCTTATCGGCCAGGAGGATCACAAACCTTCCATTTCAGGCTTACAGTATATAGCTACAGTATAAAGGAACAAATTGAAGGTAGGTGTCTGAAAGATTAGGAACATGGAAACTCTTTTTAGTTTAGCTTCATGAGTCCAGGTCAGTAAATGGTTGAGCTGGGGGGAGCATGGGGGTGTAGTTGCTCTTAGATTGATGGCTGATCTGAAATGAAATGATGCTTTACAGTCTTCTGCTCTGGAAGACTACCAGAAAAGGAGTGAGGAGCTGAGAGGGGAACCTTCAGTTTTTCTACTTGCTGGCGATGGTCTCTATAGAAAGGCTTTGGATCATATGACTTGTTAAATATGGTATCTTCTTATCCTCTCAGCTTAAGCTGTGTTTAAAGAAGAGGTCTGCTCTCCCCACCTCTCCCCAGTTAATCTAGGGTGAGAAGCATGCAAGTGTTTGGGTTTGGGAAAAAGTTGTTACAAGGTATTTTGTAAAAATTGGACCAGATTTAGTTCGGAATGGAGTACAACTTGGGAAGGAATAGTCATGCGAGACAGAGATGAACTCAAATATTTTCTCATGGGCTATTGTCTGCCTTGCAGTTTCATATATAGATACCAAGATAACCTCTAAACAAAGCTGACTAATTGTCATAGAAAAGTCGTCTCTGCAAGTATATTTACCTTGCTGCTACTTCTGAGACGGGTTTTAAACTTCCTCACTGTAGTGCTCAGTCACTTGTGCACTACAGCTGCCTTACACGGCTCAAGCACTACAATGTAAATGTTTCCATGGAGCGTTTCAATAGGTATTACAAATATAAGTGTCTTTTCAAAGAGCAGGTAAAGGATTTGGAAGTCCTTCTTATATTCCTGTCTTGATCTTTGCCTTGCAAGAAGCAGCTAAGTGGATGACAACAGAATCTAAATAGAAACTTGTGAAGAAAAAATACTAGATGTTGGCACTGAATAGACAGTTAAGCATTCCCTACTGACACATCAGTGTATAAATAGGGCCCTGCAGAGTACCTAATACGGCTACTATTGGATTGTAGGCCAGAAAAAATGCTATTAGTGGATTTGAAAATACAGATTACTCCAAGTGGATGATGAAAATATATAAACATAGTGGACTATGCATAACTTATTTTGAAATAATGTTTCTAAGAACTGGCAGCAAATATTTTTCCTGGTTTTCATAACTAATACATTTTGTTCTGGTTTGAATCTCCTGTATCTCATTCTAAACTGTATAAAGCTGGAATGCTGTTTCTCAATAAAGGCTTTTAAATTTGTTTCTTTAAAATAAATGCAGATTCTTTTGGTTTAAATGTAATATCCTGGATCACTGGTTCTATCTTAAAATAAATAATGGCACAAGTAATTCATTCAACAGTAACTATTGCACAGTAGTCAGTAATAGTGCCTGTAAATATGAATGCCTGCTAATATTGATGCAGTTTGGTTATTCGAATAGTTGGGGAATGTTATATGTCAAAAGCTGGGCTTTTGGCTTTATTTTAAATACAGTTTTTCATGGCTTATACATAGCTACAACTCTTTGGCTACAGTACTACACTTAGCTAGTTCAGCTTTGTAAAATTCATAAACTTTCCTTTTGATGAGGATAAACGTTAATTGACCCTGGATTACAATTAAGAAATTATTGCTATGAGCTATATTCTAGAGTCCAGCTGAGACTAACGCATTTACTTGTTCACGTAAACAGAAAATGCAGACTCAAAACTCAGGCTTTTGCATTTACATTGTGACACCAAGTGGTTACTATTAGCATGAACTTTGTGAAAAATCATTGCCATACGTATAATTTGAGCTGCTTTATACAGTTGCTTTGCACAAGAAGTGCAGATTTATTTTCACTAGGTAGTTATAAAGTGGAATGGCACTATCCCTCATTCAATACTCGGGATTTCCATTCAGTAGGAAATAAAGAATGAATGAAATAATGTCGTTTACAGTACTCTTTGCTCTGTGCTTATCCGCTTTCATTTCTGCTCCAAGTATTTTATGGTGTTTCAGAACAATAGCTAGGAAGTCTGTTTCTGTGCATCTTCTCTAATATTACTTTCTTTTTCTTCTGAAAGCAGTTTAACAGTAAAACAAGAGATGGGTTTACTGTGAACACTAAAGTCCCCAGCCTCAAGGATCAAGGGAAAGAATATGATGGATTCACAATTACAATAACAGGAGATAAGTATGTTTACTGTTTTCAAATGCATTAAGAAATGATGAAGTATTAGCAGTTAATTTGTTCTCAAAATACCATTTTCTGCTTGCATAAAGTGAATTTTGTTTTTTACTGCTGGCATTTGTGCTAAAAATTTATTTCCTAACAAAGAGAGAATATGGATAGTGTTTAAGGAGCAGGCCCAGTTGGAGCGATTCTCTAACACACAGCATATAAATGAAGAGAGACCTTGTTATTCGTTGTAGACTACAAAACGCTAGAGGAGAAAAATCTTAGTCTTTACCTGTACTGAAATACATTTCATGTTGTGAGATCTTTCCTGCTATGGAGATTGAGAAGTCCTGAGTGGAATGGAAATTTCTGTGATCTAAGAATGGGAAAAGCTGTCTTTTCTATTTGGTTTCTGGCCTTTTAATTTTACATTTTTTCACGATGTTTGAGGATCTTCTGTCTGTAGTTGCCAACTTAGACTGTGCCATTCTTCTTCTGTGAAGATGTGCTCAGGGGGCTATGGGCCAGTCTCTGGGTAATTGCCTCCCTTTAGGGATACTGGCTCATTGTCTTCTCAAAGCATGACCGTTAATTTAGAGCTCAGAAGCCACTTCCAACTACTAACCGAAAGTTTAAATCGGCAGTTCTTGGCTCTTGTTCGTTATGGGATTTTTGAGTTCTATGCGTTGGAAACTTGTATGTTTCCAATGTGTGGTGTGGAAGCTGGGCTTGCATACTAACATTGTAACTTATCTCTTGGGTGTTAATTTTATGTTGTATATCATATGTATACATAAAGTGAGACGTTGTAAAATATATGGCATCACTATCTCAGAAGGATACTTTGGTGCAATTAGAACTGTATGATTTTGTTCTGCATGGATCTGTTTCAATCCATAGTTTATAATTATACTTTTACGCAGAAAGAGTTCCAGTTTGGCAGTTTACATGTTAACAAAACTATAGTATACGTTCTATACAAAAGTGCCAAAACCAAGAAGATATTTTTAAATATCCTTTTTTATTACTATTTCTATTTTTTTTTTTTACCCACACTCGAAATGAAACACTAATGCTTGTCAGATATCCTCCAATGGAAATACTTCATATGTGATTAGACATCAATTTTTACATACTCTTCCAGAAAAACTTAGAGCGTGACAAAATATTTTTAGTTTCTGTGATTCTTATGGAAGGGGGGGGGGTACAATGCATTTATTCTCATGCTTAAGAAGAATGATAGGAAAAAGGTTATGATGTGACGCTTTACTGCAGTAAATTTGTAACTTGCCTTGGATATTGGATTGTGCATCAAGCTCTGTGCAAAAAAACTCTGTTCTCCTTTTTTTGTTTAATCTGCTTGACAGGGTGGGGAACATACTATTTTCGGTAGAAACTCAGACAACAGAAGAAAGAACACAGCTGTATCATGCAGAAATAGATGCACTATATAAGGATCTAACAGCTAAAGGAAAAGTACTAGTTCTATCTGCAGAGCTGGGGGTGAGGTTGTTTTAATGGAAATGATGAATTCCTTGATGTAATTCTATTATATTTTTATACGTTCTGTTTAATAGGTACCTCCTTAATAATTTTTGAGATCCTAAGTAATGAAGTAATGAAACTGACTGCTTAAACTGGCTGCTTGTTTAAGCCTAATTATGACAATTAAAATGCCATGTTTTTACCTGTTACTTAAGTTTGCTGTGCTTTGCTGCAGCAAAGGAGAAAGTCCAGACAAGGAGGTCCCAACATCACAAAGTGCTCCAATGTAGCAATGAGCTTTTTTTTTTTGTTTATTTGCTTAGTCCAGTAAATCTGTGATCACTGCTTCATCGTCCTGTCAAGTGCTGCTTAAGATCACGTGTAGATTTGGTTCATGGTGGCCAGATATGAGAAGTAACATGAATCCATTGATTTATGGCAAAGAGCTATAATTGTCTTCATGTTGGTTTATATTGTAATGAAAACCTGACTACGTTTGAGCTTATCCTTTCCATATTGGTCCTTTAACACGGTACAGGTGAATTGTCTTTCACCTAAATGTTAAATGTATAACAAAATAATTTCCTTATACATCTGTTAATCAGACTTCAATTTATCAGCTTGAAACTTTTCATATTTGAAATGATTCTATTAAAAAAAAATAGTACTATAAGACTTGTCTGTATGGATTACTGTAGATGGTTTTGTGATTTTTGTCTGGACCGTTAGAGTTTAATCATCTTAAATTCTTTATTTATTTATTTTAACTTAGGAAACAGATGCTGTATGCAACTTGATCCTGTCATTAGTTTATTACTTCTATAATTTAATGCCGCTTTCAAGAGGGTCCAGGTTAGTGATTTCCTTTCATCATACATCTGTTATCTTCAACACACTCTGTAAAATGCCCTTACATTTCAGTTTCTTAATATATTTATTTTTAAGTGACTAAAAAAGGCTCTGTGAGTTGAACCGTCTATCCTGCAATGTCTCATTCTATGCTGCCATGACAATGGGGACTGACTTTGTGCTGTTTTAAAAGCTGGCTTGTCATTACTGATGGTAATTATTCATAGCTGCATGCATATTTAAAATGATGAGTAGTCTATATTTATAGACTTCGGCTCACAGACTGAAAAGTGTCATTTCTAAATTGTAGCGTTTGGATTTCTAATCTATATCATGCTACAGCACTGTAATTTCACTCAAAAAGCTTTACTGAAATATGTATTCTAGCTAAAATATATTTTAGGATGGTTTAGTTTAGTAAGGAACGCTACACAGTAAATATTAATTTATTACAATTGTTAGGGTCACTAAATGAAACCTTAGAGTAAATTCCCTGTATTTCACGAATCTCTCTAACTGAAATTCCAGTGTAATTCAAACCTGATTGCTTCTAAGACTATGCTGAATCTCTGCTCCACAGAGCACTTAGAGTTTTAACCTTATTATTAAGCGCAGTTCAATTGAGGAAAAAAAAATAGGGATTTTCAGTTTTATGATCAAGCTTTGTTTTTATCTTACAGAATGTAAAAATGAACAGAACTTGTTTCTGAGTTTCACAATTAAAAAAAAAAAAAAAAGTTAAATATTGAACAGCTGTTGGGTGGAAAAAGTCCCTTCCTGCTCTACAGTGCCTCTAGCTCTGTTGCAGCGGAGTTCATAAGCTCTGCTGGACTGTAGTTGCAATTAAGCTTCTTGGGAACAGGAGCGTGCTTTGTCTTTAGCTTTAGTGGAGTTCGAAACGCTCATAAGTCTGAAATTACGTTTCTGACCCCTACAGAAACAGTGTTTTTCAGTAGTTCAGCTCCGTAGGACCATAAGTTCATTCCATGGTATTGGAGAGTGAAAGCGTTTTCATCTTTTGTGTTTCATGTTTGTTTTTCCTTCTAAAATAAAGCAACTATCAAAGTAATTTTTATTAATTTTCTATGAAATAGTAGTAGATTCTATTTGTCTATGTTGTCTAAAATAGTATTATGGGAAGACATCTCCTGTATTTTATTTTATTTTATTTTTTAGTGTAATAGCTTATTCAGTGATCATGGGAGCACTAATGGCAAGTGGAAAAGAAATTTCAGGAAAAATACCTAAAGGAAAGGCAAGTATCAAAATACACTGACTCCATCTTGGTAGAGGAAGTTATATTTATAAATGTGGGTAGGCAGCTGTAAGAATGAGCATAAGTTGCACGCTGGTTTACCGGAGATGGGTCAGGCATTTACTGTGTTGTCCTGCAGCCTGAGGAAGTTTTAAAGGTTTCATATCTGTTCTGAGAGCAGGTGAGATTTAGAGGTAGTATCTGCAATATCTCTGGTTAACTCAGAAATTGTAGTAGTTCATCTGCTACAGTAATTATGCCTTTTTAACCCTGAAGCTGTTCTAGTGTTCTGAGCTGCTCTTTCTAGCTTCCTTTGAAAGTACTCTGAGAATACTTGGGCAGAATTAGTGGCTCTTCTGGGTGCGTAGCAGAAATTTTCTTTGTTTGGTCTTAATGTATTTCTACTTGACAACCTCTGAATGATCTGGAGTACATTTGCAACTTCTTTTGATTTTTCCTTCCTTTCTGTATCCTGCTTAATTCAAAATGAAGTCTTAGTTTTTAAGTCACTGCATTCAGAATTACATCACCTTGCTCAATGATGGGGGTTCCCTTTGTGCATTCAGTCACATACTGATATAACGATTGCAAATTAATTTCAACTATTGATCTGTTAGCTGTATTGCCCCTTCAGCATGAAAGGAGCCAGAGCTCCTTTGTCTTTTAATGCATTATTGCAAGAATCAAAGAAATTCTGGTGAGAATCAATGTTTTTGAAGAAAATGTCTTGCATGCATAGTTGAAGAGAGTGTGACTTTCCCTTCTACTCCAGCAGTACCTGTGAAAACAATGAAGTTTGTCCTGTCCTTTCAATACAATGAGTTTAGAAGGCTGATAACATTAAAAACAAAACAAAACCTGAAAACAGATGAGGCAAATGTTATACTGTATTCCTAATAGTTTTTAAGAGTGGACCGCACTTCCTTAATAGCAAGAAAGCTTCCTTTTCAGTGGGTCACTAAGCTGGTTTCTTCAGCATTCTGTAGGAGTTCTAGCCGAAGTGGAAGACTCATTTATCTGCGGAGGTTTCATGCGTCTTTTTAGATCTAAATGGGATAGTGCAATTTGACTGATTTATGCAGGCAAGCCGAGTTTCAGGATTAGGATTACCAAAAGCCAGGATTTCTGACGTACAGGAAACTTTGGGGCCACTTCTGTGCCTGAACTGGAACAAAACCTTTTTTAAGAAAATTTTCACCAGCTGGAAGAAATTTTTTTTTTTCCAGTTGAATGAAACTGGTTGGGATTTTTTTGCCAGATGCACCAGAAGGGGATTTCCAGTGCCAAAGCTTATGAGAGGATGCCTTATCAGACTGCTCTGAAGCCAAAGATGTTCAGCTCTAAAGAGTCTTGTTCTTACCACTTGGCGGGTCTGCCAGTAGCCACGGCCAGTATAGCGTCCAGCACTGTTTGTGATGGGATGCGCCAGCCTGCAGGCAGCTTCAGTGCCTGGCACGCCCGCTGGCTTCCAAACACCTTTCTTTGGTGATAAGGGACAAACTAGTCCGTTGTGAGCTTATTCCTGACCCACCAGAAGTAGAGGTAACATCTCTCAGAACAGCTGAATTCAGCCAAAATTCATTGAACCCCAAATGTTTCAATTTAGTTGTTTCAGTATTAATGGACTGCTGTTTTGGACTAAACATTGTTTCATTAAAAACACCTCATCAGCTGTAGGTACGAAGTTGCCCAGATGTCTCAGCTATCTGTAGTCAAAACTTGTCTAAAAATCCATTGTGGAAAGAAGCAATAGAGAATGCTCGGAAAGCTCAGTATAAATCTACCATTCCAGTGATACTATATTGTGGCATTTTGCAGAATACAGTATATAGAATCAGTGAGAAATACACCAGTTTTAATTGGACTGTCTATCTTCAGCCTTGTATTACAGTATTTTCTGGCTCTGAATCATAACTGTAAATATCTTGTTAAGAGATTATTAAAAAAACCTGATTTTACCACAAAAAGAAGGATACAATTTTAAATTTGGATTTAACTATTAAGAATATTCAAGAATTAACTCTGGAATTAGAAAATTTAAAACTTCTTTCATTTCTTAAGATCTTTTTTGTTTTGTGGCATTTCAGCTGGTTGATTTTGAAGCAATGACAGCACCAGGGTCTGAAGCTTTTAGCAAAATGGCAAGGAGCTGGATGAATCTAAAGAGGTAAATTGTTTTGTCAAAATGGTCAAGGAAAGAGATGTAGGGGAGCCCCAGGTTTTTAAATACAATCTTATATAATCTTAGAAGTGTGCTTATATATATTACTAGATATAGCAGATGGGATTATAGTATAACTTGCTTTTGAGCCCATCATGAACTGGCTTATTGTACTATCACTAATCAGGCAGTTCTCGAAAGTTTAAGATTTGGGTGGTGGTGTTTTGTTTTGGTTTTGGCAAAAAAAATTTGGGGGGGGGGCCCCTCTGGCCTGCCCCACATGGCTGTATCCAGGGATAATCTTCCTCTGTTCCACAAACCTGTCCCCAAAATGTTTGCATTCACGTTTCAGCACACTTGGCCCAGGCCCTGTTCAGTATAATTCTCCAACATCCTTCCTCAATTAACAATATAGCAGAGGTCCATTTGGATTTTGCACCATTTAATTTATAACTTTATTCCTACAAAAACTCCACAGAACAGTGTGGCCTACAATTCGGGTTGGGATGGTGTTGGAAAGGGGCTGCCAAAGGAAAGACTGTCTGCTTGTTCATCTGGGCCATTTCTGGAGGTCCTCAGCTGAATGCAAACCAATGCATTTAAATTGTCATTTTCTGAATTTATCAAAAATTCTCAGCCAGCTCAGCAGAGGCTTATGAGAAATATAAGGTACTGTGTTCAAACGAATTGTTAAGCTGTTGGAGCCTGTAGGGGGAAAAAAAAAAAGGCAGTAGCATCAAGATAAGCCACATTACATCACTTGTCAGCAGCAACTGGCTCTTTTGGACATTTGTAGTATGAAAATTAAATGGGAGTAAAGTACGAAAGACTTTTTATATGTCAAATTGAAATCTAAACTAAAAAAGAAAGTGACTTGACGATAATGAGTTTGATAAATAATCCACTGTGGTTTTCAACGCTTTAGGAACTGATGAGACAAGATTTGAATTCACACACACAGTAGTTTATTTCTGATCTAACAGAATAGTAATTTAAACACTCAGTTATCATGTGGCTGTTATCCTCTGGAAAAAATGCTTAGGGCAACATTTTCTTCATTTTGTCCGGTGGTCAAATTTGCATCTTTTTTTAATTAGTAAATCTGGGCATTGAGAGAACAAAGTAGGGAAAAATTTTAATTTAGTCACTCCTTTTTCATTCTAAGGATCTCTTCAGACTGTACATTTAAACTTATTTACCTATCCTTTAATCCTCTTTTAATCTGGAGTATTTTCAAAGTTGATGGCAGTTTTGAAACCTCACTTTGGCCCCTAGAAAAGTCCTGGAGCAAGTCCTCTAGGAATATGTTTCTGGGCACAAAAAAAAGATGGTTGGGCACAGTCAGCATGGATTTACCAAGGGAAAATCATGTCTGACCAACCTGATCGTCTTCTGTGATAAAACTGTTGGATTTGTAGATGAGGGGAGAGCAATGGTTGTTGTTTACATTAGCTTTAGCAAGGCCTTCGACACTATCTCTCACCAATATTCATGTAGCAAGATAGGACATTTTTGGTCTGAATGAATGGACAGCTAGGTAGGTAAAATACTGGTTGGACTCGGGGGTAGTGGTTAATGGATAACACGCTATCTGGAGGCCATTAATAACTGGAGCACTGCAGGGTCTATCCTAGGACCTGTTCTGTTTAACATCTTTATCAATAACCTGGAGGAAGCAGAGGAGTGCTTGCTCTTGAGGTCTGCAGATGACACGAAATTGTGGAGACCAGTTGATACGCTCAAAGATATTGCTATTTGAGGGATGAAGACAGGCTGGAGGAGCCTTATAAAATTCAATAAGCGCAAATGCAAAGTCCTGTACCTGGGAAGGAAGAATTATGTGCAACAATACAGGCTGGGGACTGACTGGTTGAGGAGCAGCTTTGCAGAAAAAGGCTTGGGGGCCTTGGTGGACAGCAAACAGAACGTAAGCTGGCAGTGCACCCTGGCAGCAGGGGCAGCCAGCAGTGTCCTGGGCTGTGTTACCAGGAGCATTCCCATAGACTGGGGGAGGTGTTGATTCTCCTCTATTCAGCACTTGTTTAGACCACATCTAGAATACTGCCTCCAGTTTTGGGGCTGCCACTACAGAAAAGACAATGATAAACTGGGGCAAATGCAGCAAAGGGCCACCAAGATGGTTGGGAGGTGGAGCATATGTCTTATCAGGAGGGAACTGGGCTTCTTCAGCCTGGAGGAGAGAAGGCTTTGTGGGGACCTAACATCAGCCCTCTAGTACTTATGAGGAGTATCAAGAAAATTGAGACAGGCTCTTCACAGTGGTGCCCAGTGGGAGGACGAGAGACAGTGTGCATAAGTTGAAACAGGAGAGAGAGGTTCAGGCTGGGCGTAACTTTTTCATCCTGAGGGCGGCTGAGCAGTGGAGGAGGTTGCCCAAATTGGTGATGCAGTCTCTGTTCTGGTGGTTTCCAAGACCCAGCAGAATAAAGGCCTGAGCAATCTGGTGTGACCTCATAGCTGACCGTGCTTTGAACAGGTTGTCAGATTATGGACCTCTTGAGGTCCCTTACCACCTGAGTTATCCTATGATATCGACAGTTTGTACTGCTGCTGTTAGTGCTAAATAAACATCTCACTGATTAGTGCAGTTTAACTTATCTGTGGCTGTCAATCTCGCTAGACTGTAACACCTCATTTTAAATGAAGAACATCATTAAGAAGACTCAAGTACATCTGGTTCAGACTCAGATTAAAATTCTACATGTAAATACAATCATTCAGTCCTTATTAAGTAGTGGCATTTTTAAACTACAGTGTAGCAGCTTGCAGTCGATGCTGCTTTTACAGTAGTGGGCTTTTAATAAAAGTAGTATACAGAAATATTATGACTTGGTTGTCTTGGAAATATAAGATGTTTGTGATTCCCACAGTTGTTTTTACCATAAATTTTATAATTTATATGCTTAGCCTCTCTCTTAATCCTGTGTTCATATATCAAAAATAAATTTTGACACATCTTTACTAGGACAGAGCAGACTTTATCTTAGGATCAAAAGCAGCTTAAGCCCTTTCAAGTCTTGCTACGTGTTCCTGACCCTCTCAGTTGCACTGTTGAAATTATCTGCAGGATCCCATAGTGAACCAGACCTGGATTAAAAATAACCCAATCAAAATTTATTTTTAACCTGGACCATTTCATAGTGCAGTGCCATCAATAATTTTACTGGCTCAACAGAGATGTGTAGTGGGCCAGGAATCAGGCAGAGGGGAGAAAATGCTAAAGTGAGTTTTACTTGAGATTGAAGAAAATATCTGTGGAACCACAGCCCGAAGGACTTGAAGTAATACTATAAAGGTAATTAACCTGAATGACTAATTTGTCAGTGGTGTAGGAATAATAATGGGTAAAGTAACTAAGACTTGAAGACTTAAAGCAATAAAATTCTACTTTAATTTCTGCCATTTCAGAAGGCTCTTTTATATGGTGATTTATTTTCACTCTGTATATTGAGAGCACTTCCTGAAGTGAGGAGTCATGAGAAGCGAGAGCTGATGGGCAACAGATTCTTGAATTCAGTTCCTAAATTTGTTGGAGAAGAGGATGAGCAGAAATACAAGTGAACAATTTAACTTCTAGGTAATTCATTAAACTCGGCAAAAGATGATTCATTTTCTTTTTTTTCTTTTTTCATTTTTTCAGTATTTCTCCTTCTTACAAGAGCCTACCATCAATATCAGAGACATTTCCCACCCTAAGAACGATGATTGAAGTACTAAATACAGACTCGTCTCATTGTTTAAAAAAAACGATAGTGGTTGTGTAATTTATACAAATAAAAAGCCAAGTCTCGTTTCTCCATAAATGATTTTGAAGGGGTAAATTGCAGACAAACTGAGTTTGTTTTTACTTTTATGAGGGTTTTTTTTTTTTTGTAAATAGGGTACTTGGACTTAAGTAGTTCTCACCGGAAAACAGGAATCTTTTTGTGTGACCAACAGTATTACAAAGGGAAGAAGAAATATAACAGTTGGCTTTTTTGTATCCAGACTTACTGTAGTAGGAAGTAAAGTTACTCAGGGGCCAAACCAAAGAGCAATAAGTTTCTATTTCACTTGTGTTCTGCACTAACTTTTAAAAATCTTCATAGGCATTATATATGCTTTGAAAATACCACTTCCTATTTGTTTTTTTTTTTCAAAGCCTCTGTCTTCTGCATGGAAAAGTTCATGAGCCATACATGTGAGAGTAACTGGTAAATAGACAGGCATTTCATGTAATGTAATCCAGTGAAGGAACAGCTGTGAGCTTAAAAGAACTGGCTTCAGGAAAACATACTTTGGAAATAAAAACAAACAAATGACATATCCAGAATTAGCCTCTTGGTGAATAAATGTTAGAAATAGAGCAATCTTACATTAGTCTCCCTTTCCAAATACCCGTTCCCGTTCCTCTTTGGCAAAAGATAGCAAAAGAGTGAGAACGTATTTGGAGAGCTATCTAGGGGTCTTTGGGTTGCTTTTGTTGGAAGGGACTGGCAGCATTCTGGAAAGACAGACATCCTGTAGGGCAGGGCTAATTCAGTTCAGAGAACATGGATGGTTCCACAAACTGTATTTCACCTTGTAATACTGATGATGTTACTTCTGGGAAGTTCTCACTGAATTATATTCATTTTAATTTGAGCTTTGTAGCCCTTTGTCAGGTTAAATGATTTCAGAAACACAAGCTACAGCAGGCAATGGTGAGGCAAATGTTTCCTCCGTGCCTTTATCAAGTGTTTGTTGTCCACTTCATATTCAGCATTTCAGAAAGACTGTTCTGTTTCTAGATATGACTCTCAACTTTTCCCAATGTTGATGGTGTAAACTGTTGCTATCTGTTGCTATCACCTTTTACACACATACTCTTTTCTTTATTTCTTCCTAATTTTCCAGTGCTTATGGCTTTTTGAGGCAATTGCAAGTCTCTACCCTAATCATGTCGTATGAGATATGCTAAATAACAAGTTACTTACCAAGGGGTGGAGGAGAAAATCCTGCATGCCCCAAGCCATTCTAAGCCCAATAGCAATGGCATGGTTCCTTTTTCTCGCTATAGCACAGTGCAGTCTCAAATCTCTCTTTAATCACAAAATAAATGCAGCAGAGCACCAAGAATATTGATATAGGTGACCTGCTTCAATAGTGGGACTGAAAGTAGGGTGGACTTATTGAAGGGAAGGCTTTTACCTTGATTATCCTATGTAAGTATTCATCAGATTCAAAGTGGGCTCTGTGTGTGGATATGATTGGTGTGTCTGTGTGTTTTAAGTTCTGGAAAAAACACACACAGACAGAGAGCACAAGATAAGTTAGAATTTTTTTGAGTAATAGCATCCATTATGAAAAGAGTCCTATTCATTTAAAGTTGGATTTCAATATTTGTTAACTGGGTCACTGACAAAATGGGTAGCCAAACATCAGAGTGTTCACATGTATTAAGTTTCTCTTAGAGATAGGAAAGGAAACCTGGAAAGTGGATGTTTACTATGTCTATATTACCAAACAGTGCCTCCTGCTATGAGCACCTCAGTTCCCCCACTATATGTATTTCAAAGGTTTAACTTTCTTCTGCTTCATGTCTGGTTTGTGAACTGGCTGCTCATTAGCATTTGGAGTTCACGTTAGCAATGTGTCTTCCAGTTTGGACTCTTTTGGGGTGAAACAAAGCATTCTGAGCGTTCTCTCTGCAATGTAAATCAAAATGCAGTAAGTGGAGAAAATGAGGAGACTTGCTTCAAAAGTGTGCTCCTGATTCACACTAAAGTAATGATGCATATATATACTTGCAGGAACCTTTTTTTGTTCATGAGCTCTTACATTCAAAGATTATATACTGAAAATATGAGAGTAGGAGTAGTTTTCAGCATTTGTTGCTGAAACAAATTGTACTGTCAGTGTGGTCGCTTTTTCTCCCTAAGAACAAGTGCTGTAAGTTAGTATGGTAAAAAGTTGATACTGTTATGTTTACCAGTAATAGACTTGTAAGGACAGCAGAAGCAATGTTATATGAAGGAAGGAGGAAGATTTTCTATTAAAGAGGGAGTTTGCATGTATGTGAGCAGGGGATATGTGACAAGTGCCCAAAACATGAACATGCAAGGAAATCTGGAAAAAAGGGGAAATACCTGTTTGGAATCCAAGTTAGTAGTCATTAGTGAGCACTAATCTACTTTGTAATATTGTTAAGCATTTTGAAGGATTGGTATAGCTTTGAGAAGCTAAGTAAAACTCACCAGAAAAAATAGAAGGCAGATTTCACATGTAGTCCTAAGACTGATTAACCAAACCATAATAAAGGCAGATTTGACCACCTGGCTGGCTGGCCGATACTAATGAACACCCTTTTCAAACTTTCTTGATCAGAATTTATATAAAGGGTTAAAGTATTTCTTTCCTAGTACGAGGATAAAGTAGATTTGTGAGTTTCCATTAAAAGAACTGTATTACTGCTCAATTGGGATGAAGGTATTTTTCCTCTATCCTTTTGCTCAAGTACCTTTTCCACTCTGCTATAAGTGAGTACTACTTGTTTCTATTGTGTCTTCCATTTAAGGGTCTAAAAGCTTCAGAAATACTTATTAGGTTTCATAATGGAGGAAAGTAATTATTATTTATTCTCTCCTACCTAATGGAGAAACAGGTACAGTAGCCAGGAAGAGATTCCTAATTTCATGACTTGATTGTACTAAAACATTACAGTCTCTTTCCTCTTAGCCTGTAACTTTTCCTGTGGCTTGTATTATTTGTTGAGAAAGGGGAACTCTACGTTGGTACTGACGAGGAAGTTCTTGGGGCTATAAAATAGGAGAAAAAATTTCTTGTTTTAGGCCTCTAACAGAGGGAGTGGAGAAGTGATGGGGAGGAACAGGAAAATTCCCTGGACGAACAAGCCATGTACATCTGTCCAGGTTTTCTTGTTTACCTTACTCCTGTGACTGACTTTGTACCCATCCCCCTTCTGTCAGATAAAAAAAATGATATTAATGGGATATTAAAGGTGTGTCAGTGTAACGTATATTATACCTCTAGGAGTGCGTGTGTTTCAAAGACTTGTTTCTCTGGGTGTGATGCATATGACTAAGAAAGAAAGTGAGCTTAAGTTAAATGCTCTCAAACAAGTTTAACAAACAAAACAGGATTATATAAATGGGCTGGTATGTGATGACTTGGAGAATTGTAATTACACTTCTCCTAAGAGCCAGATATGTGGAGAAATCTAATTATCATTTTCCATGCTCTTCTATGTCAGCTTAGACAACTGGTCTAGTGATACCATTTGAGCTCTTAAATAGGAACACTAACGTACAGCAGCCGCAACCATTTATCTATTAGGAATACTGTTAGAGAAAGCAGAGTGGCAAAAATAGGCCAAGTAATGAAGACCTATTAGGCTGAACCTCAATATTTGTGAGACTGTTTTGAAGAAAATAAACCCCCCTATGCAGCTGTCCAGGACAAAAGGCAAAATAGATTTAGCCTTGCACAAATCTCCTCTGAGATACTTGTCTGTCTTTGGTAAGGGGAGTGTGTACATGCACACGTGTGCTCATGTATGTGTAGAAGCAAAAATACTGAGACTAGGAGATCTTTCTGGAGGTTAGCAAAACATTTGATGTGGTACCATACACAAAATTAGGACTCGATACAGGAAGAGAGCTCTTGTAGAGCGGATGAGGAGCTAAATGAAAGGGAGAAACCAGGTGGTGTGCTGCAAGGCAAACTAAGGTTAGTAATGTAGTTTGCCAAATTTACAAGTAAGGCAGAATTTGGAGGTGGTACTAATAAAATGAGGCGCAGAATAGCAGGTAGGAAGAACTCAACGTCTGAACGTTTGAAAGTACTTCAAATGGGATGGTATTGCAATCAATAAAATCAAGTCCTTTGTAATATTCAAATAATGAGTTCCAAGCTTGGGTAATGCAAGTTGCAACTAATACAATTTGTTACAATCATGTAGCTGTGGAAAAGACACATGAAACCCTAGCACGCACCAGGAAAAAGATTCCTAGTCAAGTACGTTTTAAGATGTTACCTGGCAACTCTAGCCATCTGTGTTCAAGAACAATGAATTTAGATGGGAACAAGCGTAGAAGAGGGCTAATAGGATGAGCAGGGTGCTGGAGAGAAGGCTGATGTGACATAGGCTCTCCCTATAAATGCATTAGTACAAGAAATAGCAGATTTAGGAGAGAAAAGAATTACAGCTAAAAAGAACCGTACTGTTCACATGAGCAGGTCATTGGACGGGTAACTAGAAGATTTCAAAGATGGGGAAGGGTTAAGTAATGTACTCTGCTCATGCCAAGAGCATGTTTCAAAACCAACTTCTTAAAGTGTCACCTAAACACTTGTGAGCAGAATCATATGATGGGGTGGCGAGAAATCTCTTCCAATCCTATGGGAGTGGTCAGTGACATGTAGAAATGCAGATGGATCCTAATTCACAATCCCCGTGTTTCCCTTAAGCTCAAGGCCAGAAGTAAAGGTACCAGCAGTGAACTTCTATCCTAGTACTACTGGCTCTTTGTTCTTCACCAGCTACTTTCCTCCCACGCTTCTCCTAATTCATTGAACATCTGAAAGCAAGCGGTCCTCTCCCTCTTGTATCACACCTACTAAGAATAAAGAAGGTTGTTTTCATAGAAAATGTGCTCGTGCATGGCTTTGGAAACTTCCTCAACAATAAAACCCACCAGAATATATGCATTCTATTTTGACAATATAACTAATACATAACAGACGGGCTTGTTACATTTGGGACACAACTCTCATTTATCTTACCAAAATAATCCAGCTGCTTTTGAATGACTCACTGCTGAGTTTGTTTAATTGGACAAAACAGCCTGTCCCAGGCACCGTGGCTCTCCTAATGCGATCTGCCAGACCTTTGACTGTACGAAGAAATAAGACTTTTAAGAGTCAGGAAAACCCAAATTCTTGGCTCCCTTGCTGGTCTGCCAGCTGAGGCAAGTCACTTCGTGGTGCCTTCGCTTTGTCCCTGGTAACGTGGGAATGTTACCTCTCGCCCTCTTCGGGAAGGCCCCGAAGGGCTGCGGGAGGAAAGCGCTGTGAGGCAGGGGCGCAAACCAGCGCGGGGCCGGCAGCTGAGCTGGGCCGACCCGGCCAGAGCTGCCGCCCTGAGGCTCGGGCGGCGAGAAGCGA